AAATTCGATTCCTCCAATTCAATTCTTAACTACTTGTTCAGTAGTCTACTTTACAGTTCTTTTTTTGTAACGTATTTCTTTTCCGGTCAGCTTCGGAACCGGCAATCTAGCTAATAAACAACAACAAACAATACACTATTGGAAATACAATATAGGAAATCTTTATTCTACACCCTTTAATGTGAGTGTTCCTATACTGTGGGAAGCGCCTTTAACTGTTTAATGAAATTACAGAGCAACAAACATCCAATACCACATGACAACTGTCTCAGAAAAAAATCTCTCGTGACATTTTTCAGTAATTCTCAGGTTTCTCGCGAACTGTAAATTCTCAGACGCTGTTCTTTTCATAAGAATGATTAGATAAAAAAAGCCAAGTTTAGTCTCAAACGAATGAAAATGGTATCAAGAAAAATTTAGTTTTACAATCGTATGATGTTTCTCGATGTGATGACACATTCTCTGTCAAATGTTTCATTGGATTTTAGCAACTCGTTGTCGCTTCTTATCTCTTAAATAATTTTCTCTTGCCTACCTTTTACATATTCAAAACGCTCTGAAAAATTCTTTTTTATAAATGTGTTTATTCCCATATATTCAATTTGTGTGTACAAATGAAGTTGATGTGATTTTAAAATAGACAATGTTGGTGTTGTAGTGACAATAAAGACGAGAATGGACGATGAAAACCAACGAAATTCCCTCCATTCACCACGAAATCGATAATACAATGCTACACCATCTTCAATGGTCATGGCTATAACTCCACACATATAAGTTAAAACAAATATATTTTGAGTTGTGCACGTCACCGTTGATGTTAATAATGATGCCGATGTTATTAGAATAAGGCGTGTTGATAAACGACGAAGTGTATCTGATTCAAATAAAGCACCGAAATTTGACATTCGAATTCAAATCATAAAATGAAACTCTTAAGTTTTAATATTTTACTCTCTTTAGATTACAATATGAGCGCGTCATAAAGTAGAATCTTTGAATTGGATCTTTCATTTCAATACTTGCGAGGAGACCTTCTCAGGTGTAATCGAAGTTTTCCAATGAAACCCATTGAAATAGGCAACCTACCTGGTGGTAGTATAAAGCCGAAGAGGATTTCTTACGAAAGCTCTTGGTCAACAAATTCGAGCATTTTTATCGATTTTCCCAGCGGAAAATGGCCAAAATAAAAAATTCAAAACTCAGTCGTACAAAATCGTCTACACGTAAAATTTTTGCAGTAACTAGGTCTATCTAAGTACCAGCTATGCTGTAAATTTCAGAAGGCTAGCGCATTAGCTTCCTGATTTACGAATTTTTTATATCAGTAGCGAAAACTGCATTCGTTGTTTTCGATATCTATCTCGTAACACTTCTCCTATGCGTGACTCTTTTTGCTGTTCAAATTCTGTTGAAAGTCACGTTGCTTTGGGGAGCTAGCCATAACACAAAATATTTGTTAAACACACACACTACGTACCACATGTAAACAAGAAATAGTAATTAGAGAGAAAGAAAGAGACAACAGACACAGAAAGCGAGAGAAAGAGTATGTCGTTGCTGGTGTTGTGTTTGTCTCATTTGCTATCACCTTTTTGTTAAAGTAACAGTGTAAGTAGTCCATCAAAACAGATCGTTCGCAGCAAAACTAATTTTGACTGTCTATTTTCTCAAAATTCTTTCACATTTCAGACAGATCGTATCTTTCTAATCAAATAGAACGTTTCTCATAAATATTTTCAGATGATAAATCCACATAATGTGAATCAAATTCTATTGAGTTAAAGGGGGTCCCCCATTTAGATTTTTCTCTGATGTTCCCAGTTTGTAGAGGACACTTCGAAGTATATATCCTGAAGTTTTTTCGGTTTACTGACATCTTTTGGCTAAGAAAAAAATTAATTATTTAAAAAAATATTGTTAAATTTTTGAACGAGGGATTATTATTAAAAGAATTCCTGTCCATTCTCCATTCATCCTAAAACCTTGATTTTTGCCTAGATCGATGGCGAAATGTGTGAAGAATATTTATTACGAGAAAATATGCAAGAATTTTTGTTCTTTCCTTCCTGGTATTGACTAATTACTACTAATTAACGTTAATTTAGCCTACTCTACTAGCATAAAGTCTTATTTGTAAAATAGCAACGCAACAAAAGATTCAAAAAATACCTCGTCTGACAGAGAATTTCTGAAGTCCTAGGCCAATACCAATTTTTCTCAAAATATGTAAACTTTTTGCCGGTGAAAAATTCTCAAAATGACACCATTCGATAGAGCTCATCGCGACGAGTTCTATCTGACACTGTACTTTTCAGCCTTGGACCAAGTTCAGGAATGAAGTTTACTGCAAAAGTCGGTTTTTTATACGTAAAAATTCTGGTATTTTAAATTTTTCTTTCAAATGATTCTTTCATTTTCTTAAATGAACTATGCGGTGAAAAATATTTGAATCTGGTGCTGACTTTACCTACGTGAAATAGAGAAACTTGTGTATATCACCGTTACACTTCCTTTCTTTTTTATGAAGGTAAAATGTGTAAATATAACAACGGGGAAAAACATTTTTGTCATTCTGTTTGCGTCATTTAGGTTTCAAGTGTTGATTTTCATCATTAAATTTATTTCTTACTTTACCATTAAGGGATTTTTTCTAACTTATCTTTTTTTACTATTTTAAATATATGATCACCTTTTATCTAGAATAACTCAAACGCATTTTTCATCGATAAAATTCACCAGTAAGTAGTAAATACATTCAAGAAGCTTCAACAGTACATACTACAGTTGAATCTGTACACATAGGCTTCATTACATAAGGTTAAAGAAATTCAAAACTTCCACACTTTTTATTTTTCTATACATCATTCGATGCAGATTTTTGCGCTGAATCCGAGCATGTATAATTTGCTTAGGAAAAGTTGAGTTTTGTGGACAAAAACTTGAGAAAAGTAGTGTCGATCGTGGGTCATCGCGGTAATGTCGAGTCACGAGCAGAATTAGCTGGCCACGCCGATTTACTACTTGATTAAACGATGAATTTAACTGTGATCGTTCCATATAATTTCGAAGTGTTTCACATTTAATGAGTGCTAAATTATTAAAAAAAGTTGTTGATTAATTTGATAGTTTTCCATTAATCATTTCATGTCTATCGTTTAAGGGCCCCGCCCCCCCCAGCCCCCCTCAGAAATGACGATTCTCGGATTTTGAGATAAGCACATATAAAGATAGCCTGAAGTGTCTACTTTCAGAATACATACGATTCGATACCATATTAATGGCTTTTGAGAGGGTTCAGAGGTTTTCTGGAGACCTGCTGTATAAAAACATACTATTTTATTCGAACTGACGCACTGATCCTGTGAAAGTAATTTTTGTACAAAACGAATACCTAATGTATAACTAATGTCGTTTCGATAACAGTATTATGCCATAACAAAAAACATTCATTTACTGAAGGATAGTCCACACAAATAATAGTACAAATAAAAATATATATAAAGAGACAAAAATACATTCTTGTTTGATTGTTCTAATTTGTTTTGAACTTACAAACAGTTCATAATATGAATTATAGGTTGATGATGCTGCTAATGATATACAATAATTCCATAATTTCGTTGTTCCTAATAATATACCTATAAATTTCCATTCATTTAGGTTTGATTGTAGAAAGCATAATCCCCCGCTGAACCCAGACGTAGCTGGTGTATCAATGTATAGGTTTTTATTATCAAAAAATCGTAATTTTCCAGTGCAGTTAAGAAATGTATTGGGCAACATTAGTTGCGTGGCTGTTTTACCATCAACTGTATCTACACGGTGTAACATAACCTTTTTCTCCCCCCATACACGACCTAAAAGACACATAAAATAAAAAACGATTTATACCAAATTGAAGCCCG